CACCCCGCCCTTGGAACAGCATCGCGCGAGGCGACGCCATGGTTCCCCCGGCCCTCAACATGACCACGGTTCTGGCAGTGTTGGGCCAGCTCACCGCCTCCCAGCTAGAGCACCTCTACAATGTCACGGGCTTCGACAGCCGGGAGGAGCTGCTGCGACACATTAACAAGACAATCATGCACGTGAAAAGTTTCGAGGAGCCTTTTATGCAGGTAAGACCAACGATTGGATAAGGAGGAGGAAAAAAAAAACTTCACTTATTATTATTCCGAGAATGTGTCTATGTGTTTGTAATGCACAGGAAAAGTTTCGAGGAGTTTTTTATGCAGGTAAAAACAAAAATTGGCTGAGGAGGAGAAGAAAAAGAACTGCATTAATAATTGTTCCCAGAATGCGTGTACATGTGCATAATGCACAGGAAACGTTCGAGTTCCTTTTTTATGCAGGTAAGACCAAAGATTGGGTAAGGAGCAGTACGTTTAATTATTGTTCTGAGAATGCCCCTATGCATTTCATGAACGTGAAAAGTTTCGAGGAGCCTTTTATGCAGGTAAGACCAAAAATTGGCTGAGGAGGAGTGAAACCCCCCCACTTCATTAATACTTTTTCCGAGAATGCGTCTATGTGCGTGTAATGCACAGGAAAAGTTTCGAGGAGTCTTCATGAAGGTAAGACAAAAACTTAGATGAAGAGGAAAAAAGGTGATTAATTATTCTGAGAATTCGGCCATGTGTATCATGAACGTGAAAAGTTTCGAGGACCCATTTATGTAGGTAAGACCAAAGACTGGATCAGGACAGAAACGTTGATTAAGCATTCTGAGAATGTTCTTATTATAATATAATTCCAAAATGCAAGAAGGCAACGAAAAGTATTCGAGAAGACGATCAGGTAAGTCAAATATTGCTTTGTATAATTTTGTGTTGTTTAGATGTTGTTGATTCATCTTTCTTATCATCGAATTTTTCCTGGGGGTTTTGTCTTAGTGGTGAGGGGAGAGGAGAGGGGTAGAGGGTTATGTTGCTGTTTTTTGTTGTTGTTAATATGTGTTGTTATGGGCTGTTTGGTTTTTTTAAATAATGGTCATTGCTTTTTCATTATTGTTTGTACACTTTTCCTTACAGATTAGGGGGACGTGAGGTGGGGGTGGAGGGTTTCTGCTACTTTTTAAGAGCGGGGGAGGGGGGGGGGTAATCTCTATCCCCGTTCGCTTATCTAGCACCAACGAACGGGGCGGTTTCGAGCGCTCTCTTCTATTAGAAAATAAAATAAAAGTACGGTCAACGAGAGTGGTTACTTACGAATGAATGGGTTTACTTTTTCTTTTCTTTCTCTCATCTAGTGAAAAGAAGATGTTGGGGAATGGAATGAAACGACAGGTTTGTGTGTTGGGTTGGGGGCGAATGTCGTGCGCGCGCATGTGTGTGTGTGTGTGTGTG